CATGATCATCATCATCATCATCATCATCATCATCATCATCATCATCATCATCATCATCATCATCATCATCCTCATCATCATCATCAGCATCATCATCACCATCATCATCATCATCATCATCATCAGCATCAGCATCAGCATCATCATCATCATCATCATCAGCAACATCATCATCATCATCAGCATCATCATCATCAGCTTCCACGGCCTCCGTCTCACCCCACTTCGTCGCCGACGTCGTGGTCCGCTTAAGGGTCGGCGGCACGGGCCGTCAGGCCTTCGCAATCAATCCGGGAGGAAATCCTACCCCCAGGGAAGCGGTCGGAAGCTCAGGGGCCGCGGATTGGAAAATGCATGTCGGCGTATGTCGGGAACGGCACAAGCATAAACTTCAGGAGAGACCCGCGCGGACCTCCCTCGAGGACTGGCAGAACCCCTGTAGCGAAAGCTGCTTGGGCAATCCACACGCGCGCGCCTGCACATTCAGTCCCCCCGGAAAGAATCACGAACCAACGTCCAAACACAACCAAATGTATCTTGCGAAGCGCACGTCGATTAGCGAAACCTGCCGGGGACCGCACTGGCACTCTCGTATGCCAATGTCGAGTGGAACAGTGCAGATTTCCTCGGTCGACTTGTCTTGGTGGGCGTTCCTGAGACGAAGCCAAGACGAGGATAAACTCAGGTGAAGACAAGTCGAGAATATCTGAGATCTGGCGGCTTTGGAGGATGTCTCTGGCGCCGCGGCCTTCTCAGAGCGTTCCAGAACGCTCTGGAACGAAATGATCCTCGTCCTGGCTTCTTCCGCATTCTCTCCATGCACGACTCCCGGATCGGCGCCGGGACACCTCGCAGCACCTCCGGCGCCGCCCCGAGGAGTCCGTGCGGACCTTCGCGCGACCTCCTGTCCACCGCAGGCACCCACAGCTTCGTGCGTCGCGCGCCGCGCGAGTCTCAGCGGCGCGCGACTCGCTTTGCGCCCTCCCGAGGAAGCCGTGCGGACCAGCGCAGGCTCCTGTTGAGCCGAGGGCACCCGCCGCTTCGCGCGCCGCGCCCCGCGAGATGCCCCAGCGACGCGCGATGCTCCCCGCACCCCCGCGCCAAACCCCCCTTGGATGATGGGCCTGTTTTCCACCACCACCACCACCACCATAAGGAGGAGGAGGAGGAGGAGGAGGAGGAGGAGGAGGAGGAGGAGGGAGAGGAGGAGGAGGAGGAGGAGGAGGAGGAGGAGGAGGAGGTGGAGGAGGAGGAGGAGGAGGAGGAGGACACCCCCCTCCTACTTACGGTGGTGGCGGTGGAAAACAAGCCCACCCTTGGAGAGGGGCAGCCGCCCCGGCCCAGGCCGCGAGGCGCGCGGAGCGAGCGCGAGCTGGCCTCTGCGCCCCCGCGGGGGGGCCCGGTTTTTGCCGAGCAGGGCGAGGCGAGACACCGACGGCTCAAAACCTCGGGGGCGTCCCAGGTCGAGCTGGGGATCGACTGCAGGATTGAGTTGCCTCGAAGGTGTATTTTCCAGCCGGATCTGTGAAAGAGGCGCAGGAGTGCTCCGTAGATCTACGGAGCACTCGACATATTTCCTGTAGATTCGACGGGAAACAAATTTTTGGGGCATACCAATTCTGTGGTCGATCCCCTACTCGGCGAGAGAGGGGCGTCCCAGAGGGGGGGCGCAAAGCATGGCCGGCGGCATGTGCACGGCCTGGGGGGGGGGCGTAGTGAAGTAAGAAGAGGCGCCACATACATGAAGTCTGGGGAGAGATCCACCCTCCCCTAGTCGTCACCCCCCTCTTTGCCGCCCCCCGAAAATCGATCCCTAGATATTTCCCAGGGTCCGAACGCACCTGCTGTCCGAGCTGCGTTCTCCGCCGTGGTGACGAGTGACGAGGGGCCCGCCCAAAGGTCAACTATCCCACTCACCATCAAGCATACATTCTGCGTGCACCGTGTGGTCGTGGGGAAACACCAGCAGATGTCGCCGCGCCGCTTGTTCTGAACGCGTCCAGCTGGACGACGCCGACACAACGGCAAACCCACGGCGAGCCCTGCGCCTAAGCCAGGCGAACACGCCCAGCTCGGAGGAATCGAGACGCCGGGATCTCAGGGCTGATAACTCACGCAGTTGATTCCCCTCCGGCCTTCAGGCTGCGGACCCCTCCAGGCGAAGACGCCGATCTCCGCGGGCTTCTCGGGCGCCGGCTCCGCGGGCCTCGGAGGCGGCGCGGGCGGCAGCAACGCCCAGTCGTCGCCTGGCCCGGGGGCGAGGCTCGGCTGGCCCGTGGTCTGCATGAGCCTCTCGAACTGGCGGCCCAAGAGGGACACCTCTCCGGTCGGACGGCAGCGGGGGGCCCTGAGAACCGGGCGCTTGGATTTGTGCCCGCATCGGAGATGGACAGAACCCCCTTCCGTAAAACGTGGTGTAGTGAAAACGGCCGCGGACCCAAACCTGGCGGGCGCACGCCTGGAAAATGACGGCCGCGGCGCCCTCTCGAGAACCGAAAACGGACAACTCGCTAATCGACGCGTCAGGGTGGGAGGTCTGTCCACCCCCGATCGCACCCTACAGGGGCGCTTTCGCACGGAGCCGGGCCCCGGGGCCGTCTGCAGATCGCTCCGGCTCGAGACATGCAGCAGGAAGGTGGGGTCTCTGGGGCTCTGGCCGTGACATCTGCGGTGTTGCAGTGTCTCCGCGACGTCGGATCTCAGCGGATGGCAAAGGGGGGCTAACGAACCAGCTCACGTTGCCAATCTCTCTGGCGCCTCCTGGTGCCCAGAAGCACCCATGTATCGAGGAGAGCGCCCAGACACCTTCCTGGTCGGACGGAAGGATGGATAGCCCAGACCTCCAACATATGGAATAAATCACGACGTAGGTTGTTTTGTGGCATTCAGCCTCCAAGGACACTCAACGGACCCCAAGACCTTGAAAAAAGGCCGCAGTCCCGGGGAAGTGATCCAGACCTCTGGGAGCCGCGTTGCACAGAAATCACGACGTCGGATACCTGGGGGGATACTACACGGGGGGCTGGCGAACCAGCCTCGTCGGCGAGGATCCTGGCGCCTCCCCCGGCGCCAGGGGGCGCCCGAGGCCAGCAGATGTCGCAACGCCCCCTCTCCCTATCCCCACCCCCCTCGCCCGCCCCGAGCCTTGCGCGGCCCGGTCATCTCCGTGATGGCATGGATGGGGAGCATCACGTAGCGCCCGTCCACCTTGCCGACGGTGATGCCGGAATACCCCGCCATGGAGCCGTGCACGGCGTGCTGGGCCAGCACCGAGCAGTAGACGCTGTCGTTGGCGTTCGCGGGTACTGCGCGGATCGTGTAGGTCGGGTCGATGAACTTCACTGTGAGGGGCACCTGCATTTTCTGGAAGTGCTCCTGAGAGAAGACACCAACGCGCAGACATGACCCTGTCGGAGCTCCGCGCGGAGATCTGGGATCGGCGCTGGCCCCCCCGCCTCTGGTGCCGCTCCTGGCGCGGTCGCGTGGAAACGAAAAGCTACCGATGCCGCCGGGGTACGCTCTGACCAGACTTGCGCGGCGAATCCAGCGGTGGCGACGAGAGCGTCCGATGAGGCCCGCACAGGCGAACACAACAAGGGTCATGCGCCAGGGAGGGAGGCCCAAGGCCGACTCCAAGAAAGCCCGCGCGGAGGTCAGAATACACTCCCGCGCGTGCATACATGCTGGACGCCGGCGTTGCGCACAGGGCTGGGAGCGTGGAGCCCGAGAGTCTAGGAACCCATCCGGGGCCCCAAATCTGGCCGAACTCGGCGCGCTCCCCCCAAAACGCCGACCACGACATGCCCCAGTCCGATCTTCCTCCACCGATATTCCGGCCAGCGCCCACATATGCCCCACAGCGCATCATTTTTCTTCCTCAGGCTCCAGCAGCGCGGCCTGCAGCCAAGGCCCGACGTCGGCCAGCTTCCGGTTGCCGCCCGCGTCGCGCTCCCCAGAGCTCCTGACAAGGCTCGACCCGAACATCCTGCTCCGTCGCTCTGTTTTGGCTCCGCCTTTCGCTGCGGAGCGAAGCCAAAACGAAAACAGCGCACGAAATCGCCAAAACATCTTTAGCTCGAGCCCTGGCTCCTGATGAGGGTGTCGCCGCAGCCCTCCGCCACGACCACGACGGCAAAGCCCTGCCTAGAGGAACAACAACAACAGCAACAGCAACAACAACAACAACAACAATAATAATAAGTTTAAGACTGTTCGCCCTTATATGCTCGAGTGTCCAATAACGCGTATTTCCCAAACCCTCGATACCCGCCCTCTTCGTCTTCGATCGAACCCCTTTTGGGGGGTATACCTTTCTTCCCTGCAGGCCGGGCCCCGGCAAGCGGCGGGGCGGCAACAACAACAACAACAACAACAACAACAACCACAACAGCAGCAACAACAACAACATCCATTTTACCCTCATGCGCCATGCTTTCACACGAAACATGCGACCATCATGGTAACCATCCACATCATGGGGAACTCGTGTTCTGTTGCGGTACTATAGCGGGGTCCGTTATTCCCATTCCCAGATATCCCGCCCAATGAGGTCTTGCAAACACCTCCTCCGAGGAATTTCAACATATCCCGCCTCGTAAACACATGCCCGCGCCTTGCTGCGCCGATGCGAGATCGCCAGTAGAACCCCAGCGAAGGGTAAAGCACAAGGAAGTATCGAACGATAGGATTGCCTTGGTGGGGATGGGGGCTGTCGGCGGTGAGGCAAGGACCTGGCCCTGAATAGAAAAGGAGGAAGCCTCGATCAGGGCTGCTGTTGTTGCTGGGAGCGGCGCCAATGCTGAAGAGAGTAGGGCGCTAGTCCAGCGTAAAGCAAAACGAAGTCTCGAGCGGGAACGCTGGTTTTGTTGGGACGGCGGCTTTCGTCGGCGAGGAAGAACACCGCCTTGAGCAAGAAAGGAAGAAGCATCGAGCGGGAACCGTGGTGTTGTCGGGACGGGGGCTGTCGGCGGCGAGGAACAGCACCGTCCCGAGGAAAAAAAAAACATCTCGAGCGGGAGCGTGGTTCTTGCTGGGAGCGGCGCCAATTCAAAAGAGAGTTAGGCGCTAGTCCAGCGTAAAACGGAGGGACGTCTCGGGCGGGAGCGCTGGTTTTGTCGGGGCGGCGTTCTTCGGCGGCGAAAGGGAACACCGCCTTAAGTAAGAAGGGGGGAACATCGAGCGGGAGCACTGGTTTTGTGGTTGTCGGCGGCGATGAACACCACCGTCTTCAGGAACAAGGGAGGAAGCCTCGAGCGGGAGCGTTGTTCTTGCTGGGAGCGGCGCCAATTCAAAAGAGAGTTGGGCGCTAGTCCAGCGTAAAACGGAAGGAAGTCTCGAGCGGGAGCGCTGGTTTTGTCGGGGCGGCGGTTCTCGGCGGCGAGGAGGAGCACCGCCCTGAGTAAAAAGGGAGGAAGCCTCGAGCGGGAGCGTTGTTTTTGCTGGGGGCGGCGCCGATGAGAGAAAGACTAGCGCGCCAGTCCAAGGTAAAACGGGAGGAAGTCTCGAGCGGGAGCGCTGGTTTTGTTAGGACGGCGGCTTTCTTTCGGCGGCGAGCAAGAACACCAACCCTGATTCAAAAAAAAAACGTCTCGAGCGGGAGCGTTGTTGTTGTTGTTGGTGGTGGTGGTGGTGTTGTTGTTGTTGTTGTTGTTGTTGTTGTTGTTGTTGTTGTTGTTGAACATTATTTATTCTAAAGAATAATTATTGTTGGGCCCCCTGGTGCACGCCCCCCCTGCGCCGCCTAGGCCGCAGCTACATTTTCATCATTTTCGTGAGGAAGCCTCAGGTAAAACGATGTGATCCAGATCCGGTTGTTTTGTTGTAATCCGTTTTCCCTTGCAAAAAACACTATAAAATGACATTTCTTGTTCTAATATAATCAAATTTCAAGAATCCCTTGCAAAAAATAAGGTAAAGTGGACATTCGCGCGCGCAAGACGAAATCCTTCCAAAAGCTTAGTGTTCGGAGCGATTTTAACATAAAAACATCAAAAAACCAATGGTTTTTCAACAAAAAAATGTCAAAATCTCATCCCGCGCGCTCTTGCGGATTCGTAGGAAACCCAACACTTTTTAAACATTTCTGTCAAACGGGCTTTTGCGAGCAACTTTTTCGAACTTCTGCGACAACGGTTGCGCACCTGCCAGGGCCATCATCCCTGTCAAATAATACCATGCGGGACACATTCGTTTTTTCTTCGCGCGCGCACGCCGTCGTCGTCGGCCGCGGGGCCCTGAATAGTAGCCACGGTCGTCCGCATGCCACGAAGTGAAGTGTCCGAACGTCATAGGGCGGGAAGCTGGGTGTGGGTGGTGGCGAAGAGTCGTTTGGAAATTTGGTAGAGCTTGAACCGGCCCCCCCACAAAGTGGGGGTATTGCCCGCCTCCTATGAAAACCCTGGCACTGGTGAGAACGGAGTGTCCCCAGTCTTAAATGATTGTTGTTGTTGTTGTTGTTGTTGTTGTTGTTGTTGTTGTTGTTGTTGTTGTTGTTGTTGTTGTTGGGGGGCAGGTTTTGGCGGTCCCCCAAACCGCTCGAGCGTGAGCCTCATTTTCAATGAAACTGTAGCCGGCGCCTCGGCGAGAGCGCCAGGGCGCCTGCAAGGGGTCCAACAATGATATTGTTCAGCAGTTAACATGCAACAGCAGCAGCAACATCAACAACAGCATCAACAACGACAACAACAACAGCAGCAACAACAAAACAACGGTATGGGCATAATTCCTCGGACGTCCGAGCGGCTTTCCTGGATCGGCGCCAGAAGCGCCGCAAGGGAGGCCCAGCGCAGGTCCTAGAAATCCGCGCGGACCTCCGAGGAATCATGCGTATTAGCGGACGAAGCACAATATAACATAAACTGTTCCGTCACCGGGGGTGCCTGTCCCAGGGCCGCTGGAAAGTTTATACCTGGACGTGCCACCGTAGGGGTCTAAACTTCCAGCCGCCCCGGGACAGGCGTCCCCGACGGTGAAAAAGTTTATGTTATACCGTTCTTCGCCCGCTAAGCTTATGCAATTTTGTCGTTCTTCGATCGCCTCTTCACGACCTTGATCAGGTGCGTGAGCAGCTTCGGCAACGACACGTCCATCTCGGGCAGGAGGCACACGTCCACGTGCCGGGCCGCCAGGACCGCCTCCATGGCGATCCAGCCGCAGTGCCTGCCCATCAGCTTCACCAGCCCGATGCAGTTGGCGTTCGAGGTCGCCTCCGTGTAGGCCGAATCGATGGCCTTGACGGCCTCTGTGCACGCCGTCTTGAACCCGAAGGACCTGTCCAAGATAGGGATGTCGTTGTCGATGGTCTTCGGAATGCCGACGACCGCACACTCGTGGCCAATCTGCTGCGTGCACTTGAACATCTCCATAGCGCCCCGGTGCGTCCCGTCGCCTCCAATTATGAAGCACTGGCTCACGCCCTGCTCCTGAAGCGTCTTGGCGATGTCCGCGTGGGGCGGATTGCCACGGTCGCTCACCAGGATCGTGCCGCCCTTGTTGTGGATGTCCTGCACCACCCCCGGAGTGAGCTGCATCCAGCTGCTCGGCTGCACCATCCCTCTGTATCCGCCGCGGCAACCATGGATCCGCGTCACGCCGTACCGCGTCAGGGTCATGACGATCTCCCTGATGACAGAGTTGAGCCCTGGGCAGAGGCCGCCGCAAGTCACGATCACGGCAGCGCTCTCCGCTGGGTCGAAATGAAGGACCTCCCGTGGTCCACCCAGAAGCATCTGATAGTAGATGTGCCCCCTGTCATCTCTCTTGTTGAACCGCATCAATGTTGTGGTGGCCCAAGCCTGGTCGTCCAGAAACGCGCGGTGGTCCGTGCCGTGGCTCTTGTTTGGAAGCCTCTTGGAAGGGAACACAGTGCCCAACGTCACAACGCCCAGCTTCTGAACCTCGTCGCCTGGCTCGAGCACCTCGTTGATGCTGCTCGGCAGCGACAGGCTCCGCAGCACGGTGTCCGAGTCCATGTCTGCCGAACGCGAGCTGGGCCGCACACCGTCCGGCGTAAAGTCTGGCTGCGTGGTCGTCTCGATCAGCCTCTTGAACCAGCGGCCCTGCGTGTCCACGCGGCGGCCCCGCTGCTGGGTGATGCAGTGGATTGGCAAATACACGTAGCGCTCGTGCACCTTCCCGACAGTGGCTCCCGAGAACCCGGCCATTGCCCCGTGGACGGCGTTCTGCGCCAGTGCCGCGCAGTACTGACTGTCAAAAGCGTTTGCTGGCACCGACCGTATCATATACGTGGGGTCGATGTATTTGATCGTCAACGGCAGGCCCAACTGCTTGAAGCGGTCCGTAATCGCGCTCTTCAGCCACAAACCGATGTCGGCCAGCACCTTGTTCCCGCCCGCGTCCCGCTCGCCGCTGCTCTGGATCATGGTGTCGCCACAGCCCTCGGCTACAACGACGACTGCGTGCCCTTTCGTCCTCATCAGGTGCTCGACGTGCACGAGCACCTTCTCGGCGTCGATGCTCATCTCGGGCAGCAGGCAGATGTCCGCGTGCCGCGCCGAGAGCACAGCGTCCATGGCGATGAAGCCGCAGTGCCTGCCCATCAGTTTGACAAGGCCGATGCAGTTTGCGTTGCAAGTCGCCTCGACATAGGCCGAGTCCACCGCCTTGACGGCCTCTGTGGTAGCTGTGTCAAACCCGAAGGTCTGATCCAACATGGGCACGTCGTTGTCAATGGTCTTGGGCACGCCGATCACAGCACACTCGTGGTCGATCTCTAAGCAGGCATCGGAGGACTGCATAGCGCCTTTGTGGGTGCCATCCCCGCCCAGCACGAAATACTGTCGCACGCCCTGTTCCTTGAGCACCTGGGCCATCTCCGCAACGGGCGGGTTGCCACGGTCGCTGACCAGCATGGTTCCGCCCTGCGTGTGGATCTCCTTCACGGAGTCGGGCGTCAGCTGGATCCAGCTCTCGGGGTGGACCACGCCCTTGAACCCGCCTTTGATGCCCCAGATGCGTCGCACGCCGTAGTCCCAGAGCGTCATGACGATTTCTCGTATGACGGAATTCAGTCCAGGGCAGATCCCCCCGCAACTGACGATGGCGGCACAGGAGGCGGGGTCGTGGGGGTCGAAGTGCAGCTTCTCCCGCGGACCGGCTCTTATCATGTGGTAGTACGTCGCCCCCTGGCCCCCGATGCCAGTCAGGAACGACTGGGTGGTCCACGACAAGTTGTCCTGCAGCGCCGTTTTCTTGCCCGTCTCGTTCAGCGTCGTGGGCAAATCGTACACACCGAAGCGCTCAGAGAGGTGGAAACAGGTCAGCTTGCGGATCTGCGCCCCCTCTGCCAACAGGTCGCCGCGCTGTAGCGGCCTCGACTCCTTGGTGCAGCCGAAGCCGTCAATGCACGTGAGCTTCGTGTTGGGGATGCGCACCTCCAAGCCAGCCTCATCGTGCAGCTCGGCGTTCGAACGAAGGTGACGTCCGCTGAGGCTTGGTTCGATGGGCTTGGCCTTTGTCAGGCCCTCCACTCCGAGATGAGGCTGCAATGTTGCGGCCAGCAACCGCTCATAATCCAGGCCTTCAGGGTTGACTCTTCGGTTCGGCGTCCCAGTGATGGCCCGTATGGGCAGATAGACAAAGCACTCGTCGACCTTTCCGACAGTGACGCCCGTGTAGCCAGCCATGCCCGCGTGCACGGCCCCCTGCGCCAGGCTGGAGCAGTAGATGCTGTCGTTGGCGTTCGCGGGCAGCGCGCGGACCATGTACGTGGGGTCCACGTACTTGACCGTGAGGGGCAGGTTCAGCGACTTGAAGTGCGACAGCATCGTCTCCTTCAGCCACACTCCGGCGTCGGACAGCTTCTTGTTCCCTCCACCGTCCACCTCGCCAGAGCTCTTGATGAGCGTGTCCCCACAGCCCTCAGCGACCACCACGACGGCGTACCCCTTCTGCTTCACGAGCGAGACGCAGTACTCAAGTACGCGCTCGGTGTTCACGTCCATCTCAGGAAGCAGGCAAACGTCTGCGTAGCGCGCCGCGAGCACAGAGGTCATCGCAAGGTACCCGCAGTGGCGCCCCATAAGCTTCACCAGGCCGATGCAGTTCGCGTTGCAGGTGGCCTCCACATAAGCAACCCGGATCGCATTGAGCGCCTCACTGCACGCCGTGTCGAAGCCGAACGTCCTGTCGAGGATCGCGATGTCATTGTCGATCGTCTTAGGCACCCCGATAACCGCACACTCCCATTCGAGTTTCTTCAGCGCTTGGCATGTGGCGTAAGCGCCTCGATGCGTCCCATCGCCGCCGATGACGAAGTACTGACGGATGCCCTTGCTGCGAAGGACCTTAGCAGCATCCTCCTCGGGTGGGTTGCCACGGTCGCTCACCAGGATGGTCCCGCCCTGCATGTGGATGTCCTGGACGTTGTCGGGAGTCAGCGTCAGCCACGTCTGCGGGTTCACGGTCCCCTTGAATCCGCCCTTGATGCCGTAGACCTTCTTCACGCCGTAGGCGAAGAGGCTCATGACGATCTCGCGGACCACGGAGTTCAGCCCTGGGCACAGGCCACCGCACGTCACGATGGCCGCGGCCACCTCGTCCGGCCTGAAGTGCAGCACCCTCCGGGGCCCGGACCGCAGCAGTTGCAGGTTCACCCCGAGCAGCTCGACCCGCGGCCCGCTCCTGGCAGGATCGGTCAGCATCGCAGCGGGGCATCCGATCGAATTGGAACGCGCGTCGGACAGACCGCATCCGCACGGAGTCGAAACCGGATCGGATCGGCTGCGCCGGCCTAGCAGCGCCATGGAAGCATCGGGCCGCGCCGCATCGCAGGAAAGTCGACCTCGAATCGGATCGAGCCGGCCGGAATCGGCATCGAACCGGATCGATCGGATCCCAGTGGGCCGTGCTCCTGGTGTGCCCCAGCGCCCCAGTTACCCAGGACTCCGCGCCCATGAAGCGGAGCGAGGCGCCTTGCACGCTCTCCGCGAGCGTGGTGGGCACCTCCCTGGTGCCGAAGGCGTCCCTCAGGTGCTCGAGCTCCATCCTCGGCTACTCGCAAGGGCGGCCCTGGGCAAGAGTGCCCACTCGTGCGCGGCGTCAGGGGTGAGTGGGGGGCGTGGGCAGGGGGCGCTGCCACAGCATCGCAGTCAGCGATCGGGGGCCCCAGTGGCCCCGTTCAGAAGGTCACGCTGGCGAAGGGCCACTCTCTAGAAGGGCAAAAGCACAATTTCTAGCTCCGCGCGGACCTCCGAGAAATGATGCTTGCAGGCGAGGCTGATTGAAGAGCACACGCAAGAGGACACAAGACCCTTCCAAGCGTTTACGTTGCCATAGGAATGTGGAAAGCGTGGGCGCCGCCAGGGGGGCCCATCGCCGATCCAGGAAATCCGCGCGGGCCTCCGAGAACTGACTGGACGCCCGAATTATCTGCAATCTCTGCGGTCCAGGGTAACTCCGGCTTGGGCCCCCGAGGCCCGAATCTGTAGTTCCCCCGGACCGCCCCCAGCCCTGATGATTCGAAAGGGTCGGGCACCGAATTATCAAGGATAACTGCGGTCCAGAGGAGCTCCGGCGTGGCCCCCGAGACGCGAATCTGCAGTGAATTACCCCCCTGACCGCCCTCAGCCCTGATGCTTCGGGGCTCTGCCTACTAGAAAAAGAAACACGCGGCGCCGCCCCTGGCGCGCTCCGCCGCCCCTGGCGCGCTCTGCCGCCCCTGGCGCGGTCCAGCGCAGATCCCAGGAATCCGCGCGAAGCGCAAAAAGTTCATGTTTATGGCGTTTACTTTCTCTTTTTCCCAACCCTCCTGCGTTGGGTTCTCGTTTTGAATAGAGCACTGCTCGCGCGTCTCCTTCCTTCCCGCCCCCTCCCGTCCCTCTCTTCCCCCCTGCCTTTGACCTCGCCATCCCTGGGGGGCTGCGATCTGTGAAACTGTCGCCACTTTCGAGGCCTGCTGGGGGGCCCAGCACAGTGGGTACTCACCGCAGACTCAAATGGGACCTCGCCATCCCTGGGGGGCTGCGATCTGTGAAACTGTCGCCACTTTCGAGGCCTGCTGGGGGGCCCGCGCAGTGGGTACTCACGGCAGACCCAAATGGGACCTCGCCATCCCTGGGGGGCTGCGATCTGTGAAACTGTCGCCACTTTCGTGGCCTGCTGGGGGGCCCAGCACAGTGGGCACTCACGGCAAACTCAAATGGGACCTCGCCATCCTTGGGGGGCTGCGTTCTGTGATACTGTCGCCACTTTCGAGGGCTGCTGGGGGGCACAGCACAGTGGGTACTCAACGCAGACTCACATGGGACCTCGCCATCCCTGGGGGGCTGCGATCTGTGAAGCTGTCGCCACTTTCAAGGGCTGCTGAGGGGCCCCGCACAGTGGGTACTCACCGCAGACTCAAATTGGACCTCGCCATCCCTGGGGGATTGCGATCTGTGAAACTGTCGCCACTGTCGAGGACTGCTGGGGGGCCCAGCACAGTGGGTACTCACCGCAGACTCAAATGGGACCTCGCCGTCCCTGGGGGGCTGCGATCTGTGAAACTGTCGCCACTTTCGAGGGCTGCTGGGGGGCCCAGCACAGTGGGTACACCGCAGACTCAAATCGGACCTCGCCATCCCTGGGGGCAGCGATCTGTGAAACTGTCGCCACTTTCGAGGCCTGCTGATGGGGCACAGCACAGTGGGTACTCACCGCAGACTCAAATGGGACCTCGCCATCCCTGGGGGGCTGCGATCTGTGAAACTGTCGCCACTTTCGAGGGCTGCTGGGGGGCCCAGCACAGTGGGTACTCACCGCAGATTCAAATTGGACCTCGCCATCCCTGGGGGGCTGCGATCTGTGAAACTGTCGCCACTTTCGAGGGGTGCTGAGGGGCCCAGCACAGTGGGTACTCACCGCAAACTCAAATTGGACCTCGCCATCCCTGGGCGGGTGCGATCTGTGAAACTGTCGCCACTTTCGAAGGCTGCTGAGGGGCACAGCACAGTGGGTACTCACCGCGGACTCAAATTGAACCTCGCCGTCCCTAGGGGGCTGGCGATCTGTGAAACTGTCGCCACTTTCGAGGCCTGCTGGGGGGCCCAGCACAGTGGGTACCCACGGCAGACTCAAATGGGACCTCGCCATCCCTGGGGGGCTGCGATCTGTGAAGCTGTCGCCACTTTCGAGGGCTGCTGAGGGGCCCAGCGCAGTGGGCACTCACCGCGGACTCAAATGGGACCTTGCCGTCCCTGGGGGGCTGCGATCTGTGAAACTGTCGCCACTTTCGAGGCCTGCTGGGGGGCCCAGCACAGTGGGTACTCACCGCAAACTCAAATTGGACCTCGCCATCCCTGGGGGGCTGCGATCTGTGAAACTGTCGCCACTTTCGAGGGCTGCTGATGGGCCCAGCACAGTGGGTACCCACACGCAAATTCAAATTAGAGCTCGCCATCCCTGGGGGGCTGCGATCTGTGAAACTGTCGCCACTTTCGAGGCCTGCTGGGGGGCCCAGCACAGTGACGCCACACGCAGATTCAAATTAGACCTCGCCATCCCTGGGGGGCTGCGATCTGTGAAACTGTCGCCACTTTCGAGGCCTGCTTGCGGGGCCCATCACAGTGACGCCTCCCAAGTAGCTTACACATCAAGTTGATTGTCCATACAAGTTTCGGCCAACTCCTCGTTTCCATTGATATAAGTGGGTTGGGTACGTCGCAGGGTAATTCGATCCATCCAAGGACAACTGCAGTCCGCAGTAACTCTAGCTTGGGCCCCCGAGACGCGAATCTGTAGTTACCCCCCTGACCGCCCCCAGCCCTGATGCTTCGGGGCCCTGATTACGTGCAATCGCATCCTTTGGAGGAGGAGGAGGAGGAGGAGGAGGAGGAGTAGGACGAGGGAGAGGAGGAGGAGGAGGAGGAGGAGGAAGGAGGAGAGGAAGAAGGAGGAGGTGCAGTCGCGTCCTCCGGATCTCGTCGGCCGCCGGCACGATGCCGGCGAGGTCCGCGGGCTCTGCACACGCCAACACGGGCACCTGCTCCGGCTCCGGCGGCGCGGCGTCGGGCCCGGGGTCTGGGGCCAGACTCGGCTGCCTCGTGCAGGCGATGAGCCGCAGGAACCTGCGGGTCCCAAGAACATACACCACCACCACGTCGATTCCTCATCCCTCCTCTACCCTCCTATTCCTTTCTTCTTTCCAGGGGTGGCGAGGGGGTGAGGGAGGTGGTGGTGGTGTATACGTTTGGGCCCCGCAGAACCAGCCACCCCTCAGGTCCACCCTGCGCGGCTTCTGCCCCGTGATCGCCTGGACAGTGAGACGAAGCTAGGGCGAGGATCGAATCGGGTACGGATAGTTCGAGAATCTCTGAGATCCAGCGGCTCTGGAGGACGTCTCAGGCGCCGCGGCCTTCTCAGAGCGTTCGGAACGCTCTGAGAGCGTTCTGAAACGCTCTGGAACGGATGTATCCTCGTCCTAGCCCCGTCCGAGACAGGATCAGTCAACATCGAATCGGGAAGTCGGATGGAGCCGACATGTGCGTCGGATCGGGCCGCATCGGCACGGGATGGACATCGGATCGGATGGGCCGCGCCAGGACGCACCACAGCGCCATGCAAGCATTGGCTCGCGTCGGATCGTCGGAATATCGGAATCGAATGGATCAGGCCAGTCGGAATCGACATCGAATCGGATCGATATGGGCCCTGCCTGGATGGGCAGCACCACGACCCGGCGGGACACCTGGCCGATCGTCACGCCAGTGTAGCCCGCCATGGCTGCGTGCACGGCGTTCTCCGCCAGCACCGCGCAGTACACGCTGTCGTTAGAGTTGGGCCTGACGGCGCGGATCATGTAGGTGGGGTCGATGTACTTGATGGTGAGGGGCAGCTTCACGGCCTTGAAGCGGTCCATGATCTTGTCCTTCAGCCAGGGCCCCACGTCCGCCAGCTTCACATTGCCGCCTGCGTCGCACTCCCCGGAGCTCTTCACGAGGGTGTCGCCGCAGCCCTCCGCCACGACGACGACCGCGTGCCCCTTGGACTGCAGCAGGTGCAGGCAGTGCTCCAGGACCCTGTCCAGCTGGATGTCCATCTCTGGCAGCAGGCATACGTCGACGAAACGGGCCGCGAGGCAGGCGTGCATCGCGATGAAGCCCGAGTGCCTGCCCATGAGCTTCACCAGGCCGATGCAATTGGCGTTGCATGTCGCCTCCACGTACGCCGCGTGCACCGCCTTGGTGGCCTCGGTACACGCGGTGTCGAAGCCGAACGTCCTGTCCAGCATCGGGATGTCGTTGTCGATCGTCTTCGGAACGCCCACCACGGCGCACTCCCAGCCCTCCTCGGCGGGAGAAGTGCATCAACGCAGACTTTCGGAGCTCCGCGCGGGTCTCTTGGATCGGCGCTGGACCCCCCCTTCCCTGGCGCGCAGGGGGGCCCAGCGCAGATCAGAGAAATCCGCGCGGACCCCGAACATGTACGTGCACGGTGGGGGCATCGGAGATAAGGAACCCTCGGACACGGAAGCCAGGGCCCGGAAGCCGGTGGAGAACTGAGGCCTGGCCTTGGGCACCACCGCCGCCCCCCCTCGGAGAAGGACCCCATGCAGGGCCTGCAGCCTCCCGGGCACGCTCCCTCCCCCACGCCCCCGCCGTGTGCACTTGCTGCTCCTCCTCGGCTCCTGCTTCATGGCCTCGTACGTGGCCTGCGCGCCCCGGTGCGTGCCGTCGCCGCCGATGACGAAGTGCGCCCGCACGCCCATGCGCCTCAGGGCCTGGGCCTGCTCCTCCACGGGGGGGTTGCCGCGGTCGCTCGTGAGCACCGTGCCCCCCAGGTCGTGGATGTCCTGGACGACCTTCGGGGCGGGACCGATGGGCACCCCAGACAGGCGGCGTCTCGAACGCCCTTCACAGTTTGTTGGCACCTCGGGGCCCTTCCTGGGCCTCGGGACCGTCAAACGACGACTCGGGATGAAAAGCCGGTCTTGGGGACGTGGTCGAGATGTCTGGGGCCCGCCTCGAAAACATCGAGAAGTCGGATTTCCGGGGTCGAGTCGGAAGATGCGATCGATTCGGGATGCGCGTCGGATCGGCCTACGACGGCACGGAATCGGAATCGGATCGAAACGGCCGCGCGGGGGTGCACAGCAGCGCCATGCAAGCATCGGGTGGCCGCATCGAATCGCTGAATATCGGATCGGGCGTTGCCAGACGTGCCCCTGGCCCAAGGTGCCCTCCCAGGATTTCCGACAAGGCCCCCACGGCCTCTAGAGGACCCCGTCACGAGGACCAGACGGCCCCAGGGGCTCCAAAACCGAGCGCAAAACTGGGGGCACCTTTTGAGCAGGGACCAACCGTCCTGGCATTCCTATAAGTCTACCACGAAATCTTCTAGAACAAGAAAGGATCGAATAGCAAAAACAGTGTTCTTAGAACGTGAGGTCGATCAGTCTCAGCCAGAAATGCTCTGAGAACATCTCGTACAGACCACAAAAGATTATTCCAACATTCTTTGGTGGGCCTATATGGGCAAGCCATGACGCCTCGCCACTCCTTGAGCCCTGGGCCAGGGGTGCCTTTGGCAACTCCCGACCGGAGTCGAATCGGAGCGGGCCGGCCGGAGCCGAGGTCAAGTCGGATCGATCGGGTCGACGCTTGTGCCCCGCCTTCGGGGTGAGCTCCACCCACTCCTGCGGCTCCTGCGCGGCCACGTTCAATGGGCGTTTGGGGGGAGAATCGCGCGGGGGTGTCTTGTCATCGCTCTGACGTCCATTCCCCGTGCATGTTACGATTTCGTGCGTGTAAGTTCTCGCAAGATGATCCGAGATGCTCCTCGATGGTCCTCTCGCCGAAAATAAATGCGCACGTCCCAGCGATGCCAAGGTGCAGGGATGGGGCCGTTCTTCGCGGTGCGTGGGCGGGGTGGGTCGCTATCGAGGGGCTGGGCTGGGTGGGCGTGAGGGGAGGGCCAGAACGGGCCGCCGCTCGGGGTGACAAAGGGGGAAGTAAGACGAAGCCAGGACGAGGATAACATCGGATGAGGATAAATCGAGAATCTCTGAATTCCGCCGGTTCTGGAAGATGTCTCGGGCGCCGCGGCCTTCTCAGAGCGTTCCGGAATGCTCTCAGAGCGTTCCGAAACGCTCTGGAACGGATTCATCCTCGTCCTAGCCCTGCCCGCCTCGCCCGAGGAAGTGCTCAGTGAGCAGCCTGGAGTACCCCTGCAGGTCAGGTTTCCGAATCACCGGCTGGGCTCACAATCCGAATAAGATTTGCTAACAAAGGATATGACGACCCCGATCCCAGGCTTCGTGGGGTCTTCGAATGGACCAGAAATTTGGGGCCCAACCCTGGGATACACCATGGGGGGTGGGGCGCCCATCCTCGACAGGGTAGCGTCCGAACAGCCGCCTTGGGGTGTATCCCAGGGTTTCCCTCCTTTTCTGAGCGCTTCAATTTTTCGTCAAAGTCGGGGGTGGGGGGAGAAGCATCGCCTGCGATCTGCAGCCAGGTGGTTCCCAGCGGAGGTGCCTGATACCTCAGTGTCGCTTGGACCCGCAGGGGTAGGGTTCGCAAGCGGTCGCCGAGCTCCGTCACGCCCTTGTACCCGCCGCGGATACCGTAGACCTTCTTGACCCCGTACAGGGCAAGCATCTGCACCACCTCTCAGCACAAGGAATGTGGCGACATCCGAACATGATGCCCACCAACAATCGATTCTCCTGAATCGCGTTGATTCGGTCACGTGGTGGACGAATTCCGAACCCTACCCCCGACGCCGATCGAGTTGCCTGAATCGTTGATCGGTGAGGGTAGGATTCGCATTTCGCCGCCGATAAGCGAAACGTGTCCTGAGGAAATGGACCCTGTTGGGGCCTGCACCTGGGACCTGGGACCAGCTCTTTTGGTCCTGATTCGGTGCTTGGCGGTCCTGGGGCCTGGGCCCCGGGCGGATCCGAGAAGCCAAACACAGCGAACAAAAACTCAGGACCCGCTTCGCTCAGGGACCCTTTTCCCTGGGCTTGGTTCATGGCACCACCTGTCGCACGACTGAGTTCAGGCCGGGGCAGAGCCCACCGCAAGTAACGATCGTTGCCACCACCTCCCCGGGCTCGAAGTGCAGCTCTTCCCTCGGCCCCGCGGACAGCATGCTGAAGAACTTCTGGCCCTCGCTCTGTCGCAGGATCGCCTCGGTCACCCAGGCGTCGCTCCCCACGAAGTGCGACGTCATGTCCCTTGTGAGACAGCGGAATACCGGCACACGCGCAGACTTTCGGAGGACCGCGCGGATTCCTCGGATCGGCGCCGACCCGACCGTGGCCGCGCCTCCCGGCGGCGCCGCCGGTCCAAGAAGTCCGCCAGGGCCTCCGAGAGCAGGACTTGACGCAGATGATCGGGCGCGGGCTCGTTGAGACATCGGCGGCCCTCGCGCCGGGCCGAGATCCACTCCCAGACATGCGACGTCCGAATTTTCTCAGGACGGCGACCCCGAAAGTCCAGACCCGTTCCCCGGGAAAGGTGTTTCATTCGTTTTTGGATGGTCCCGGGGGCCGGCGAAGGGCTTCTGGGGCCGAAAATGGCGAAAAACTTGCCGTCCTGACTTTTCTTACGACACGATCATGTCTGGGCTCAAAGTCGGTTCCCCGACCCCTCCCGGAGTTCGTCCGGACGCGCTCTTCGACGCGGGTCCAGCCGCGGGGACAAGAGAAGCCTCTGGGAGCCCCCCCCCCCAACAAAGACGAGGCACGCCAGGGAGGGCCGCCGATGTCTCGACGGGCCCTCTTTCGAGCTCCGACGCCCTGATGTTTTTCAATACGGGGTCCCCGGGTGCGCGTACTCCGCGACTCCGCTGGTCCTCCAAGGAGCCCACGGGAATGGCGGAGCCCACGAGAGTGGCGCGACAATTGCACAAGTCGCAACACCCAAGGGAGCTGCGAAGTCTCGCCCGAGCTCTGGCCCGCTTCCCCAGGACCGCACTGCCGTCTCGGGCAAGTGTTTCTGTACGGTCTCGGGGCCTGGCAAGGGCCCCCCAGCGCCAAACACGGCATGCAAACGCCGCCTGGATTCTAGTCAGTACGTTGGAGGCGTGAGCTCTCCGACCTTAGGGGAGTCGACACGCCGCGGCTCGGGAACGTCTCTCCGAGATTCTCCACCTGTAGAGGCCTCCCAGATGGGGTCCGAGCAGATGGGGTCGGAGGATCTCGCCGCATCGGCGATGCATCGGCCATGCACTGGTGACGTCGGCGATGCATCGGCGACGTCGGCGTGGAGAAAACTGGGCCCCACACCTAGCCGCATCGCCGATGCATCGCCAATGCATCGCCGATGCGGCGCGATCCTCCGACCCCGTCTGCTCCGACCCCATCCAGGAGGCCGAGAGCCTGGGGCAGTGCCAGGGGGGGCCGCCAACAGTGGGGTCGCCACTTCCTCAGGGCACGCCACTGTCTCGAGGAAGCGGGCGCTCCAGAGCACTCCAGGGCCGTCCAAAAGCCGCCTCGAGCTTGGATCCTGGAACCTCGTCTTCGAGGAGGAGCTGATGACCCCCTGCGATGCACGGACACACGCCATCATACCTGTGGGGGGTGCTGACCCGTGCCTCGCGACTTGAGGGCGCGTCATAGGTACGGGCGTAAGATGTCGGCCCCCGAGGGGGGGTCCTATGCGAGCGGGGACCCCCATGCTACGACCACCCCCAGAATCCCACCCTTGGAACTCTGGGCCTCGTCTTGCGCGGAGATCTAGCGACGCGAACAACATGAAACATCGTAAAAGATCACGGCTTGAGCGCCACACCCCACAATTCTGCGTCATTTTTGAAGCGGGATCGATCTGTTAGGATCCCCAGGCCCGAAAACACGCGAAAACTCCTGGCTCCCAAAAATTGAGACGCCAGGATCTCATGGTTTTGGGTCTCCGGTAATGTCCCTGTCCCCGAACACCCTTCGTCGTCATTTTTTCGTGACGTGGACCCCCAGAGATCCAGACCCGTTCCCCGGGACCATTTTTCATTCTGAGTCGGTCTCTGACGGCCCGGAGGCCTGGCGAGGGCCCCCAGATGCCGAAAACAGAGAAAACCCTTCCGTCGCGCTTTCTTTCAAACCTCGAGGGGGTCTGTGAGAGGTCTTTTTGGGAGACCCTACTCCCATTCCCAAGTTTTGGCACAGTTGCCTCCTTGTCACGTGCCTGCCTTCCCCCCCTTAGGGCACCATCCGTCCTTTCGGTTGCGCCGTGGTTTTCTGCGGTAGTTTTTAGTTGCCCCGCGAAACTTCCTGTGAGAGGTCCGCCGCCTTCCACCGAGGAGGAGATGCCACCTCCTTCGGTCCTCGAAGGCAAGGCTCTTCCTGGAATGCCTCACGCAGCCCCAGTGGTGGCCCCCCTGAGCTGCGGGGACAGGAAGCAACCACAACCGCATCGAGGACACACCCGAGGGGATGTCTTGTGCATGCCAAAAGCTGTCGGAACACCCACACGTGGTCGATGTGGCGTCCCGAGACGGCCAAGCCGACCACAACCACAACCAAAATGCTCATGTCGAGGTCGGTGGGCTCTCCCCCGAGGGGTCCTCCCGAAGAATCCACTCAGTTGTGGTTGTGGCTCCTTGTTGTGCCCGGAGGATCGCCGCCCGACCACCCTGAGGCGGTGGACCGAGCCCCCCGCGGGCAGCACGTCCCTCTCCACCAGCGGCCTCGCGGCCTGCCGCTCGCCGCCGGGGCCCTCCACCACAAAGGCGGGGCCCTCGAACCCCTGGCGGAGGAGGCGGAGGAGCCACAAGCCCAGACACCGTCCCGTTGCAAAAAAAGACGGCGGGAGGTTTTTGTTGGCAAGTGTTCGGGTCTCCGCGGGCCCTCGCATGGCCCCAGGGCCGTCAAAAACTGACTCGGGATGAACAATCCAAGGGCCGAGACCGTTGGGGAGCCCGTGTTGACAAAGATCCGGGCGAAGGGCCCAATGATGATACGCAACAGAAGTACCCCATAACTATTTTGGATGGGACCTCACCTAGGAGAGCCAAATGCATTAGGGATAGAGGAGTCGTATTGCAAACATATCAAACGAAACCATCAATACGTATGCTCAGGGATAACTTGCCCCAACACCCGGGGACCTGAGTCATGTCGCGAACGCATTGTTATTAGGGCTAGGGGGGGTTCGTGTTGTATGCTTACCAACAGCGATACTATTTTTTCCCACGGCGAAGTGAGTGCTCATCGCACCCTCTTGCTGACAGCAGTGGCTCCTGGAAAGGCGTTCCCCAGACGGGCGGCGAACACCGCCCGTCCCATACGCACGGCTTTGTGCCGGAGCCCTGCGGAGCTTCTGCTCCGGCAATGTGCATCGGTGAGTGCCGCAGTTGTGGGTATCGTCTTCAGCTGGAGCTCCCCCGTGTGAGCGACGATCAGAAACGGGTCGTGCTACGCGCGATGGCATGGCGAGGTTACGCCGCGGCTTACGCGGGCAACCAGCGCGGCACGCCACACTGGAGACGAGGGCGCTTATGCGCGACCTGACGCGGGCAGCTTACGTGCCAATGTCGGCGCAGACGGCCCAGCTTTTGGGCGCCGCTCATGTGGCAACGAAGCCTGTGAGCGGTGTGCTGGGGTGGTCGGAACTGCTTGCTGACGGTGCCACTGGGGCCGTTGGTGGAGCTTCATATGGGGCCACGATACGCCTGAAGGTGGTGCCGGCCATGGCGGGGATCGGCATGCGGGCTATGGGGTGGCCAAATGCGGACGGTGCAGCAAGAACCTTCGGTATAGCTCCCCATGGAGCCACGAAACGTGTCACGTGGACAGTGCCAGTAGAAGCCTCGGAGCTCCCAATGGGGCAACGAAACGTGTAAGCGGTGCGCCGAAATATCTTCTCCGGCCACATGCGGACTTTGCCAGTGGGACCTTCGGTGGAGCTCCCTGTGGGGCCACGAAGCGCGTGAGGGGACTGCCGACATGCGGCGGCCAAATGCGGACTTTGCCAGTGTGACCTTAGGTGGAGCTCCCTGTGGGGCAACGAAGCGCGTGAAGGGTGCGCTGAAGTCGACACGAGGAGGGCAGGGGCAGGGGTGCGAGGAGGGAGGAGCGGGAGGAGGGAGGAGTGACGCGGGACGCTGCCTCTCGTGAACGCAAGAACCCAATATCACAGGATGGCCGGGAAACAACAACATAACAGGCTGGGTGGGAGAAAAAACAGCATAACCAGAACTTGTCGGAGCTCCGCGCGAACTTCTCGGGTCTCGCGCTGGGCCACCCTGGCGCGCCTCCAGCGCCTTCTCTGGCGCGTCCAGCGCCGATCCAAGGCATCCACGCGGAGCTCCAAAAACAAACATGTGTGTATGCTTGCGGATGCCACGACTATGGAGAGAGAGAGAGAGAGTTGAACAGCCCCATCATCGAGTTATGGATGTCTGGTTAGTGTGCTTTGAATGTTTTTGTTGATGTCCTCCCTCTGCCGGGAAACAGAGATCATGCTTGTGCACCCTGTTTCTTTGGACGCCCGAAATGGGTACGGAAAAATGGGTACAATGCCCAACAACAAATGTCGTCCCAAACCAACAGCGGCCGCCGTTGGGCAGGCGGTTTCTGTTTCAAATGGACACAGGCCGCGGCGGCGCGGACAGCGAGTCCTGTCCAACATGAACAGGAACTGCTGCTGGGCATTCTGCCCTTTCTTACCGTCGTACCCATTTCGCTCGTGCCGAGCTTCTCCTGCGACCTTCGGGGCGGGGGCCAGCGCCCCGGCGGAGGGGCCGAGGCTCGACTTCGCCTTGGCGAGGGTCCGGCGGCCGCCTGCCTGAGGGGCAACCGCAGGAGGGGAGACTGGCTCGGGGGGGGGGAGACTCGAGACCTCGACCTGAGCGACGAATGGAGAAAGGGGTCTTACGGGAGATGGCATAGCGACCTCACGCGGCGGCGAGCGAGGGGGGGAAGTGAGAAGGGGCGAGGCTTCTCAGAAGGTTCGAGAGTCCCCCGGCTTTCTGAGAAGATTTCTGAGCCTTCCCTGAAGACAAAGAAAACTTCTCCTTCTCACTTCCACCCCTCGCTCGCCGCCGACTGACGCCGCGGCTTACGCGGGCCGCCAGCGCTGCATGCTGTGTTGGAGACGAGGGCGCTTACGCGCGACCTTACGCGGGCAGCTTGCGAGCCAATGTCGCCGCAGACGGCCCCGTCCCAGACATGCGACGTCCTGATTTTTTCAGGACGGCGTCCCCGGAAGACCAGACCCTTTACCCGGGGCCGGGTTTTCATCCTGAGTCGCCCCGGGACCGGCGAGGGCCCCCTGGGGCCGAAAATGATGACGAACTTGCCGTCCTGACTTTGTGCGACACGATCATGGTTGGGGTTGTTTTGCGCCGCCCACTTGGGATCAGCGATGCGTCGCCCATAGATCGGCGACAGGCCCCTGAGAGGCGAAGCGGCAAGCACCTGGGCAGGCTGGGCCGTCAAGCCCCTATCTTGCCATCGCTCGGACGTCAGTTTTCCGATGCATTGTTCGACGTCGTGCGCTTAGCTTTCGAAAACGACCCCAGGTGCTCCTCGGGGTCGACTCTACCCCCCCCCCCGAGATATTCCATGTTCCGGGTGGCTTCGGGGAGGCAGCTCGGGCCTCACGCGACAGCTCGGGGCGACCCGGGCCCCCCCAGAGCACTCTCAGAGAGGCGCAGCCACTGGAGAAAGCATCCCGAGGCTGGAGAACCGTGGAGAACCGACGAAAGCGCGCGAAGCCCTCGACCCCACGGGCAGGAACTGTTGTTTTTTCGCGTGCCGCGGCGGCGGCCTCGGAGACTCGCTGCGCCCCGCGGGCGGACAGCCTGCCGCCCCGCTCCGCGAGGCGGCAGGGCAGGGCTCGGGGCGTGGACAGCGTGTCGCGCCGAAGCGCGGTTGGCCAGAGCCAGCGGCGCGCGCGACACGCTGAGCCAATGAGGAAAAACCCCTGGAGGCCTCGCGCGGCAACTTTTAGGCCCAATGTAATTACGTCGGGTCCACGGCAGATTGACGTCGGGTTCACGTCGGATCGCGTCGGGATCGCGTCGGGATTGCGTCGGAGTCACGTCGAGCTCGCGTCGGAGCATCGCCGCGCAAACGTCGACCAAGGTCTTACGAAGCGGATGTGTGGACCAGATGGCATAACTATCGCTTCTTGAGGGACCCGAGGCCCGGCCAGGAAGGACCTCGAGATGCCGAAAACAATGGAAAACCGCCGCCCCGATTTTTTCGAGACGCCAGATGTCTGGGAAGCCTATCCTCCGACGGCGCAAAAAAGTAAGAAACTCGTAACGATCACCACAGGAGCCCTTGGATATATCTTCCTGCGCCATTATTCGAACCTGATCGATCTGTGACAGCCCCGGGGCCCGAAACCGGGCGAAAACGCTCGGCTCGAAAGAAAATTAGACGCCAAGATCTCAGGGGCTTAACTGCCCCAGCATGCAACACGCAACCCGTAGCGGATTGACACGAAGCTCAGCATGTATATTGAAAACATGTGGGCGCGACGCGTTCACCCAAGCAAGGGCCAACACGCTTCGCCAACACTCAGCGCGTGAACACGGACGCCTTGAACATGGTACGCACTGCGTGTAAAAAAAGGGCGTACCAGGGCAGCTAATTCAGAACTCCGACGTCACGATTGTTTCATCACGTCGACACCCAGAAGTCTCGGCTCACTCCCCGGGACCGGTGGCTTTTCATCCCGAGTCGTTTTTTGACGGCCCCGAGGCCCAGCCCCCAGAGGCCGAAAATAGCGACAGCACCCGCCGTCGCGATTTTTTCCACGCCTCCGGGGGGGGGCCCGGGCAGCTCCGGGAAGGGATGTCCTGGAAGCCGATCCCCTCCCCTGTCGGTGCTCGATGCGCCCCTGGCTGCCGTGGTCGGCTCGGCTTGGGGGCCTGCATGCGCCCCGCGCCCCCCCCCCTCCTGCCGGGCCTGCGTGGGCCTCTGCTGGGCCCCCAACAAGGTGGCAAACTCCAGGGGGCCCAGGGGCACACAAGCAGATGAACAGACGCCAACCGCAGGATTCCTCATACGTTTCTATGTCGCCTGGCTTGTCATCTTCCCATCCACTTCCCATGTGTTCCTATACCTTTTCCAGCGAATCGGCGATTCATTGTGCCTGTGTGTTTTCCCCTCCGGACAAGAGCGTCCACGGTGAAGGGGCTCGCGTCGAGCACGCCGTCGAAAACGCCCAGACAAAACCTCGAACCGCCCCACCGAAACGTCCCCCTGAGCCTATCCCAATTAGGCGGGTATGTTTGGAAGCTCAGCTTAACATATACCGCCTCGGCTTAGTGGCCTTTAGTGGCCTCTAGCGGCCTTCGGAGTGCGCGTGTCCTCAGGCCCTTTGCCCAAACCTCTGAGCTTCAGTCCTGCCCTGACGAGTTCGCCAAGGGACTTGAACCCAAAATTTACAAACCTCTCGGGGCTTCGCGATTGCCCCTTGGGCCCTGGACTCTTGTCGCATGGATTTCCCCAGGACAAACCCAAAAAGACCTCAAGAAGCCCCCAAAACGGTCCAAGAGGACCCCGAGTCGCCGAACGATCGCTCCAAGACGGTCAGGATGGCCCCCAGACGGCCCAAGAGGCCTCCGAGACGCCCGAAGAGGCCTCCGATGGGGGGCCCCCCAAGAGGGCCCCAAGAGGACCGAATCATTGATTTGCCATAGGTTTTTGTTGGATTTTGGTGTTCTCGCCTTTTCGGCTCCCCGACGCTCCCAGACGGCCCAATAGGCCCCCAAGACCGCCTCAAGACGGCCCAGAAGGCCTCCGAGACCGCCCCAAAACAGCCCAAGAGGGCCCCAAGAAAGCCCAAGGGGCGCCCAAGACGGCCCAAGAGGGCCCCAAGACGGCCCCAAAGGGGCCTATAAAGAGGGAACACGAACCGAAACTCTGTGCCTTCCGCCTGTGCTTTCCGCCCCAAGAGGCCCCCAGGAGGCCCCAAGAGGCGACTTGGAAGCCCCAAGAGGACCCCAAGAGGCCCCAAGAGGCCCCCAAGAGACCAAAACAACAAGCGGCCCCAAGAGGCGTCCAAACTGTCTTCAAGAGGTCCCCGAGAAGCCTCCCACGAGATCCCAACGATGATCAAATAGGCTTCATACCTACAACCCAAGCGCTGTGTTGGGATGGGCCAAAAGCCACTAGATACAAAAGTGTAAAGAAGTGTGTTAGGTATGTTAAACATGCATTTCCAAAGAGACCCACTTAATCCAACCCCGTTTCCATACCCCCAACGTCATGATTTTCAACGACGTCGACCCCCAGAGGTCCCGACCCACCCCTGGGGACAGACTTCTCATCCTGAGTCCTTGTTGGGCAGTCCCTAGGCCCGATAAGGGCCTCCAGAAGACGAAACTAGAAAGACACCTCCCATCGTGATTTGTCACGACTCGAGGATCTCAGGGTGCGTCTGGGAAGCCTAGCCCCCTCCCTGTAATTTCCCTCGCGCGCACGCTGACGGAGCTATGCGCACACGAATGGTCGGCCGGCCGCTGGTTGCATACGTAAACAGAAATTTGTACATTCTTCTCTGCAGCGTCGCAGCCTCCAAGCAGACCCAGAACGACGATTGGGGCCGACCTGCCACACGCTAGCCCGCACGCAAAACCTTGGCTCGGAGAAGCGGCGACGATGGCGCTAAAACCTCGGGAAACCAAAAGGTACCAATACCGCTACTTCCCGGATTTCTCCCAGGGCGCATTCTGACCAGAACTTCGCGGCGAATCCAGCGGTGGCGACGAGGGCCACCGAGGATGCCCACAGAAGGGGAAAACGAGGCAAGGGCAGCGGAATCGGTGCTTCTTTTTTGGGGCGCACACAAAACGTACGCGCCCAGCTATGTACGTGAACGCGGTCTCCCGATCCGCGAGACCGGCCGCGTGATACGAACATTCGCGCAATGCGCACTCTCGAAGACCATCGGGGATTCATGTACGTGTGCGTCCTTCTTTCGCTCCTGATCCTTACCCTGAAAACCTCCCCCCCGCCCACCCCTTTCGTTGCCCCTTGCTGCCGTGGTCGGCTTGGAGGCGGGCTCGGCCTGCGCGGGCGGCTCCGGCACCGCGGCCAGAGGGGGTACCGGAGCGGGCGTGGGCGCCGGAGGGGCGCCCGGGGCCCGGGCGTTGCGGAGGCACTCCTCGCAGGGCTTCCCGAACTGGTCACCCCGCGGACGTCCACTGCCCGCACAGGACAGGATGCTTCAAGATGCTCCAAGACTCGGCGGCGAGCGAGGGGGGGAAGTGAGAGGGAGAAGGCTTTCTCAGAAGGCGGCGGGGCTTCTCAGAAGCCCTCCGGCCTTCCGAGAGGCTCTCGATGTCTTCGGGGGTGGCGTGGAAAACTTCTCAGAAGGCCAGGAGACTTCCGAGCCTTCTGAGCACTTCTCTCTCAGGCTCGCCGCCACAAGATGCATCAAGATGGTCCAGATTTGCGGGCCTTGGCCTCGCCAACGGACATGCACATGTCCAGGCGATGCCGAGTAAACGGGGACATGCAGGACTCCCCAAGCGGGGGCAATTTATGAACGTCGCAATGTCCGGCGACTTCGTTTTGAGCTTTCTCTGAGCTTCCGTTTGAAGTTCCACCGTGTTGTTTCATTATTTTATGTGTTCTAACTCTTTGCCTCAAGATCCACGTTACAATCGTAAATAGGGATCCACCAGAGGGGACATTGTCTGAACTTTGCAGTTTCTGGCGAACTTGTTTCAACTGTATTTGAACTGTTGTTTGAGCTTTCAATTTTTTTCAATGTTGTTTCCAGCTCTTTGCCTCATATTCCACATTCAAATCGCAGGGCTCCAAGAAACGGAGACATTTTGGGGTACACAAAACCGGCAGACGCTCGAGTCACGAAAAAATTATCCCGGCAAAGCAACCTAACAGCGATGTGTAGAAGCATATCTGAAAGCATTCCTCTTAAGATTCAGATGAAAATCCAGTTGTCGAATTCTGCTGTTCTCGCAGTCGTAGTCGCATTCGCGATGACAGTCGCAGCGGCAACGGCAGTCGCAGTCACAGCCTCAGCCTCAGCCTGCCTCCTCCTCCTCCTCCTCTTTCTCCTGCTCCTCCTCCTCCTCCTCCTCCTCCTCCTCCTCCTCTTCCTCCTGCTCGTCCTCGTTCTCGTCCTCCTCGTCTTGCTCGTCCTCCTCCTCCTGGTGCTCTCTCCTCCTCCTCCTCCTCCTCCTCCTCCTCCTCCTCCTCCTCCTGGTGGTCCTCGTTCTCCTCCTCCTGGTGCTCTCCCCCCCCTCCTCCTCCTCGTCCTCCTCCTCCTCCTCCTCGTCCTCCTCCTCCTCTTCCTCCTCCTCCTCCTCCTCCTCCTCCTCCTGGTAGTCCTCCCCCTCCCCTCCTCCTCCTCCTCCTCCTCTCCTCCCTGGTCGTCCTCGTTCTCGTCCTCCTCGTCTTGCTCGTCCTCCTCCTCCTGGTGTTCTCTCCTCCTCCTCCTCCTCCTCCTCCTCCTCCTCCTCCTCCTCCTCCTCCTGGTGGTCCTCGTTCTCCTCCTCCTGGTACTCTCCCCCCCCCTCCTCCTCCTCCTCCTCGTCCTCGTCCTCCTCCTCCTCCTCCTCCTCCTCCTCCTCCTCCTCCTCCTCCTGTCCTCCCCCTCCCCTCCTCCTCCTCCTCCTCCTCCTCCTCCTCCTCCTGGTCCTCCCCCTCCCCTCCTCCTCCTCCTCCTCCTCTTCCTGGTCGTCCTCCTCCTCCTGGTCGTCCTCCTCCTCCTGCTCGTCCTCCTCCTCCTCCTGCTCGTCCTTCTTCTCCTGCTCCTCCTGCTCCTCGTCCTGCTCCTGCTCGTCCTCGTCCTCCTGGTCTTGCTCGTCCTCCTCCTCGTCGTGCTCTTGCCCCTGCTGAAAATGTGGCCCAGGAATGGGAGTTCTGGGAAGTCGAAGAGCACGAAGTTGCCTACAGTTGGCTACGGGCATTCAAAATGTGGCCCGGGAATGGAGTTCTGGGAACTCGAAGAGCACGAAGTGGCCTACAGTTGGCTCCGGGCATTCAAAATGTGGCCCGGGAATGGAGTTCTGGGAACTCGAAGACCACGAAGTGGCCTACAGTTGGCTCCGGGCATCCTCCTCCTCCTCCTCCTCCTCCTCCTCCTCCTCCTCCTCCTCCTGGTACTCCTCCCCCTCCCCTCCTCCTCCTCCTCCTCCTCCTCTCCTCTTCCTGGTCGTCCTCCTCCTCCTGGTCGTCCTCCTCCTCCTGCTCGTCCTCCTCCTCCTCCTGCTCGTCCTTCTTCTCCTGCTCCTCCTGCTCCTCGTCCTGCTCCTGCTCGTCCTCGTCCTCCTGGTCTTGCTCGTCCTCCTCCTCGTCGTGCTCTTGCCCCTGCTGAAAATGTGGCCCAGGAATGGGAGTTCTGGGAAGTCGAAGAGCACGAAGTTGCCTACAGTTGGCTACGGGCATTCAAAATGTGGCCCGGGAATGGAGTTCTGGGAACTCGAAGAGCACGAAGTGGCCTACAGTTGGCTCCGGGCATCCAAAATGTGGCCCGGGAATGGAGTTCTGGGAACTCGAAGAGCACGAAGTGGCCTACAGTTGGCTCCGGGCATCCAAAATGTGGCCCGGGAATGGAGTTCTGGGAAATGAAGAGCACGAAGTGGCCTACAGTTGGCTCCGGGCATCCAAAATGTGGCCCGGGAATGGCGTTCTGGGATGTCGAAGAGCACGAAGTGGCCTACAGTTGCATCCATCCGGCCCCCCAGAATGTGGCCTGGGAATGGAGTTCTGGGAAGGCGAAGAGCACGAAGTGTGTGACTGTTGGTGAAAAACGAGCCCGGCTCACTGCCGCCCGGCAACTCCCAACACCTGCCCGGACCCCCCTGTGGAGTGATCCTCCTCCTCCTCTTCCTCCTCCTCCTCCTCCTCCTCCTCCTCCTCCTCCTCCTCCTCCTCCTGGTAGTCCTCCCCCTCCCCTCCTCCTCCTCCTCCTCCTCTTCCTGGTCGTCCTCGTTCTCGTCCTCCTCGTCTTGCTCGTCCTCCTCCTCCTGGTGTTCTCTCCTCCTCCTCCTCCTCCTCCTCCTCCTCCTCCTCCTCCTGGTGGTCCTCGTTCTCCTCCTCCTGGTACTCTCCCCCCCCTCCTCCTCCTCCTCCTCGTCCTCCTCTCCTCCTCCTCCTCCTCCTCCTCCTCCTCCTCCTCCTCCTCCTCCTCCTCCTCCTCCTCCTCCTCCTCCTCCTGGTACTCCTCCCCCTCCCCTCCTCCTCCTCCTCCTCCTCTCCTGGTCGTCCTCCTCCTCCTGGTCGTCCTCCTCCTCCTGCTCGTCCTCCTCCTCCTCCTGCTCGTCCTTCTTCTCCTGCTCCTCCTGCTCCTCGTCCTGCTCCTGCTCGTCCTCGTCCTCCTGGTCTTGCTCGTCCTCCTCCTCGTCGTGCTCTTGCCCCTGCTGAAAATGTGGCCCAGGAATGGGAGTTCTGGGAAGTCGAAGAGCACGAAGTTGCCTACAGTTGGCTACGGGCATTCAAAATGTGGCCCGGGAATGGAGTTCTGGGAACTCGAAGAGCACGAAGTGGCCTACAGTTGGCTCCGGGCATTCAAAATGTGGCCCGGGAATGGAGTTCTGGGAACTCGAAGACCACGAAGTGGCCTACAGTTGGCTCCGGGCATCCTCCTCCTCCTCCTCCTCCTCCTCCTCCTCCTCCTCCTCTCTCCCTCCTCCCCTCCCTCTCCTCCTCCTCCTCCTCCTCCTCCTCTTCCTGGTCGTCCTCCTCCTCCTGGTCGTCCTCCTCCTCCTGCTCGTCCTCCTCCTCCTCCTGCTCGTCCTTCTTCTCCTGCTCCTCCTGCTCCTCGTCCTGCTCCTGCTCGTCCTCGTCCTCCTGGTCTTGCTCGTCCTCCTCCTCGTCGTGCTCTTGCCCCTGCTGAAAATGTGGCCCAGGAATGGGAGTTCTGGGAAGTCGAAGAGCACGAAGTTGCCTACAGTTGGCTACGGGCATTCAAAATGTGGCCCGGGAATGGAGTTCTGGGAACTCGAAGACCACGAAATGGCCTACAGTTGGCTCCGGGCATCCAAAATGTGGCCCGGGAATGGAGTTCGGGAAATGGAAGAGCACGAAGTGGCTTACAGTTGGCTCCGGGCATCCAAAATGTGGCCCGGGAATGGAGTTCTGGGAAATGGAAGAGCACGAAGTGGCCTACAGTTGCATCCGGCCCCCCAGAATGTGGCCTGGGAATGGAGTTCTGGGAAGGCGAAGAGCACGAAGTGTGTGACTGTTGGTGAAAAACGAGCCCGGCTCACTGCCGCCCGGCAACTCCCAACACCTGCCCGGACCCCCCTGTGGAGTGATCTGCTGCTCTCTTTTGATCCCACTAGAAACCTATCAGTCTTCGCTGTTAGGTAATCATGACTTGTGATTTTCGACCTCTGGGAACCCTTACCGGGCAGGCGGACAACCAAAAAAGGACTCGGGATGAAACGCCTGTCTGCGGGAATGGGTCGGAAGCTGTGGGGGTCTGCATTACAAAAAAAACACGACGTCGGGAATTTGGGAACGGTAACACTTTGAGGGACCCACCGGGGGTCCCAAACCCTGGGGACCTGGCGTCTGATACGTTTGAGAGCTGGGCGTTTTCGCCGGGTCTTGGGCCCAGGGGCCCTGACAGACCGATCCGGCTCGAAAAGTTGGAAGATGGGGTCTGTGGGCCCCGGGGTGGTGATTTTCACGATGTCTCAAGTTCTTCGCGCCGTCGGATCACAGGGGACGGATCGCGCGGTGACCTCGGCATCCCCAACGACCTCTCCGCGCAGTCCGTCGCCGCACGGTCTTGTGACTGGCCGCCCGCGACGACCTCGGATAACGACCCGAATCCCAAGACCGTGCAGTGACCCCGAATCCCCACCGACTCGCCGGGCGGCGTGGTCACCATACCGTTTGGGGGCCCCGAATTCGTAAAATGTCCGAACATTGGCGCGCTCAGGAAACTAAGGCCGTAAGTCGAAGCATGCTCCATTCTTCGTTCTCTCCAGGTGGGACCTTTCAAAATCCTGGTTGGCAATGTCCTGGTTTATGGGATGCCCTGGTCCTCCATGTAGGCGAAAGGGTCGTCCGGCAAAACGGCCAGTACGCTCTGCATCAGGTTCTGCATGAACTTCGCGAGGTTGTGCCTCTCCCCCTCCTCCTCCTCCTCCTCCTCCTCCTCCTCCTCCTCCTCCTCCTCCTCCTGCTCCTCCTCCTCCTCCTCCTCCTCCTCCTCCTCCTCCTGCTCCTCCTCCCACCTGCTCCTCCTCCTCTTCCTCCTCCTCCTCCTCGACCTCCACCTCCTGCTCCTCCCACCTCCTCCTCCTCCTCCTCCTCGACCTCCACCTCCTCCTCCTCCCACCTCCTCCTCCTCCTTCCGCCTCCTGATCCTGCTCCTGCTTGTGCTCCCAGTCCTGTTCCTGAGCCCCTGCTCCTGCTTCTGCTCCTGGCCCTCCACCTCCTCCACCTCCTTCTCCTCCTCCACCTCGTCCTCGTCGTCGGCCTCGTCCTCGTGCACCATGCCCTCCTCCTTCTCCTCCTCCTCCTCCTGCTCCTCCTGCTCCTGCTGCTGCTCCTTCTCCTCCTCCTCCCACCTCCTCCTCCTCCTCCTGCTCCTTTTCCTCCTTCTCCTCCTCGTCCTCCTGCTCCTGCTCCTGCTCCTCCTCCTCCTCCTCCTCCTCCTCCTCCTCCTCCTTCTCATTCTTCACCTCGTCCTCGACCTCGCTCTCGTCTTCGTCTTCGTCCTCGTCCTCGTCCTCCTCCTCCTCCTTCTCCTCCTCCTCTTCTTTCTTCTCCTCCTCCTCCTGCTCCTCCTCCTCTTCCTCCTTCTTCTCCTCCTCCTCCCCCTCGCCCTCTGCCACGGAGCGCGCGGAGCGCGGACGGCAAACACACAAACAGCGCGCCTCTCCACGTAGGCCTGGCACTCGCCCAGCTTCGCGCTGCGCTGCGCCTGCCTCGACGCGGTGCGGTCCGGTGGCCTCCCGACGCCGTCCTCGGAGAACAAGAAAAAAACGGAAAAAGTCGGCACGGCCGACAAGACGGGCGGAGGCCCGCGCGGACGTCTGGCATCTGCGCTGGGCCCCCCCTGCCCTCGCCTCGCTCCTCCCTCGCCCCTCGCCTCGCTCCTCCTCTCCTGCCCCCTCTCCTCTCCCTCGCCCCCGTCCTCCCCTCCCTCGCCCCTTGCCCGCCCCCCTCTCCTCTCCTCTCCTTCCCCCCTCTCCTCTCCTCTCCCTCGCCCCTCGCCCGCCCTGGCCTGCCCTCGCTTCCCTCCTCTCTCGCCCCTCGCCTCCCTCCTCCCAGACCTCCCCTGGAGTTTGGAAAAATCACGACGGCGGGTTTTTCGCTCTTTTCGGCCTCTGGGGGCCTTCGCCGGGCCTCGGGGCCGTCAAAGCACAGATGAAAAACGGTTCCCGGGAAAGGGTCGAGACCTCTTGGGGTCGACGTTCTGAAAAAATCATGACGCCGGGGGTCCCGGTCCCTGGCGCTCGGTGGTTCAAAGATGGGGTCCTGAGGGCTGGGGTCCTCGGGACGAGGTGCCCCAAGCAAGGTACAGTCATCGTGCTACCAGACGGAGCGCATAGTAATAAGGAGCGAAGGGGCGTTTCTGGCCACGGCGAGCCTTGGCCACGAATAGGTACCACGACCTACGTCTCCCAGGAACTGCCCGAAAACTGGAGCCCCTCCAGAGCCCAAGCTGGTGCTTGCTGCAGCGTCGCGGCTGTAGATCCACCCTAGAGCTTTGCCCATCCTTACGACCCCATGCCTCAGGACCCCCTGTTTTTTGAACCACCGAGGCGCGCGGAGTGCGCCAGGGGATGTCTGGCATCGGCGCCGGGCCACCCCATCCCTGGCGCTCGGTGCCTCAAAAAACTGGGTCCTGAGGGCTGGGGTCCTAGGGACGGGGTGCCCCGAGCAAGGTAGATCCACCCTGGAGCCCCATCCTATCCTTAGGACGCCATCCCCGCTGGGGCCTCGCCGCTCGGTGGTTCAAGAATAAGGTCCTGGGGGGGGGGGGCTCCTGGGGACGAGATGTCCCAAGCAAGGTAGGTGCACCCTTGAATTCTGTCCTGTTCTTAGCGTCCCGTCCCCCCGGACCCCATCTTTGAGCCACCGAGGCGCGCGGAGCGCACCAGGGGCGGCACTGGAGGCGCCGCTGGGCGAGCCCGGCACCGATGAAGGAAGCCCGCGCGGAGATCCGAAAGTATATCTTTGGTTGCGGTCGGACGTAGGACAGACGAACATCCTACAAGAACCTGAAACACTCCGCCTGCCAAAACACCCCAAACCATAAGATCACTCGAGCATACCCTCCCCAATGGTGCACAAGAGCATCCAACAATCACAAAGAACATTAGCGTACCGTTCCCGAACTGACCTCGATCTTATACCTCGGTCCGACCGTACGCATTGTTAGCAAGCTTGGCGTCCTTGCCGACGTCCCTCACGCTCAGGTTCATGCACATCCCCTCCTTCCCCTGCTCCTCTGAGGGGCAACGATAGGGTGGACCAACTCAGGTGGGAAAACACCAAGCTGGAGATTCGGCGATACATCAGATACATTGCCGAAAGATCGGCGATAGGCCCCAAATAGCGAATCCGCAAGCTCCTCGGGAGGAGGGGGGGCCTATCGGGCCCCTATCGGCGATGAATGGGCGATTCGGGGTCGGTGCATCCACCCTGAGCCTATCCCCTTCCCCGGTGGTTTTCGGGCCATAACTCGGGCCTCTGGCGGCCTTTCGGGACGATCCCAGCCCCCCCTCTAGGCGAGGCGCAACTGCTGAAGAGCACCCGAGGCTGGAAGACCGCGGAGGAAAGACGAATGCGTCCGACAACCTCGAGGAGGAGGACGAAGATGGTGATGCAACGTTGCCCCTGCTCCTGATGGGGACAATCAGATACAGATACCACTGCTCCCCAGGCCTCTCCCGGGGTGCGTTCTGACGGGAATTTGGAGAAGAATCTGGCCGTGGCTGCAGAACGAGCAGCGGTATGGGTACCCCTTTCCTCCTCTGAGCTCCTCCCCGAAACGCACGGAGTACAGCTCGCGCCCGGGCACGAGCGTGAGCCTGCTGGCCCCAAGGGGGGCAAACACGTCCACGGTGAAGGGGCTCGCGTCGAGCACGCCGTCGGGGAAGTACATGGCCTTGTCCGCGGCGAGCAACCCCTGCCGCCGAGCCGCTCCGGCGCGGACGTCGAAGAAGGGAAAACGGCATTAGCAGAAAGCCAGCTGCCCCGATACGCCACACGCAACACAATGGCGTGCTGACACGGAGCTCGACACTAAACGTGGGCCAACACGTTGGGCCAATACGCAACGTACCCACACGGATGCCTTGAACACGGGCACGCGTTGCGTTTCAACACGTGCGTCTCCGGGCAGCTAAGAGCAGAAGCTTTCGGAGCGCCTCGCGGATGTTTGTTGGATCGACGGCGGGCCCCCCCCAGCGGCGCCTCCGCCTCCCTGGCGCGCTCCGCGCGCCGGAGGGGGGGGACCCAGCGTAGGCAGATCCAAGAAATCCGCGCGGAGCTCCAGAAGTGGCTTGCCGTGCCGTTGTTACTCCTTCGGGGACGGACAGGATGCTGCCGAGCGGGGCGCCGGTGACGCTGTCCACGCGCACCTCCATGGTCACTGGGCCTCGGACGAGGGAGAGGTGCCGACGACGCTGCTCGCCCATGGAGGGTCCTCGTCACCACGGCTGGGTTCTCCTCGGAACTCTGGTCAGAACGCGCCCCCAGACCCCCGAAATCACATTTTTTTCATAACGTAGACCCCCAGAGGTCTCGACCCACTCCCCGGGACCGGTTTTCCATCCTGAGTCGTTTTTTGACGGTCCCGAGGCCCGGCGAAGGTCCCCAAAGACCCGCCGTCGTGAGTTTTCATGGCTCCAGGGGCTCTGGGTCACCACAGCTGGATTTTCCTCGGAACTCTGGTCAGAACGCACCAGAGAAAGTCCGGGGAGAAGCGGTATCGGTGCCCTTTTGTCCGCCTCGGGGACCTGTTGAGACGACGGGGTCCTGGCGCCTCTGGCGGCGGACACTCCGGCAGAGACTATGGCTGCAGAAAAACAACAATGTCGCTTGGGCCACAAAAGCCAAGCCTGACTCAACGCTGAGAGCAATCGAGGTGTTGGGCGCGAGTCAGGGTGGGGCGATAAAAAGGGGGGGGGGAAAACAAAAGGTGCACCTCTGGGGCCCCAAAGGGTCCCTGTCTGCAGTCCTCGCTGCCCCCACTCCATTTATCGCCCCCACATTATGCCTCCGCCGAATGTGGCGATTCTGACAGCCCCTCGGGCTCTAAGACAGCCCGCGAACACCCCGTGGCGACCCCAAAACACCCCAGGACGGCCCGCTAGTGGTCCAAGACGGCCCCGCCCGACGACCCCCCTAGAAAGAATCCCCTAAGACCCCACAGGAGGCGCCGAGACGGCCCCGAGAGGTCCGGAAAAAGCCAGAGCACAAGGAAAGTTGCAGAGTCACCACGGAGTGCCGCAAGAGGCCCTGAAGTATTTCGCCACGCGTGTGTCGGAGCCACACACAAACACTCATTTGGCCCAGGAGGCCGTGCTTGGAAAATTTGGGTGCGGTCCCCTGGGCCTGCCATGACTGGGGCCAGCCGGGCTGACTCCCGGGGCCTGTTGAGGCCAGCGGGGACTACCATGGGGCCCAGACATCCAACGTCTCGATAATTTCGAAACACGGCCCTCCGATCTCCCCACCACTTCCCCAGGAATCGTTTTTCTTCCCCAATCGTCTTTTGACGGTCACGCGGCCCGGTAAGGGCCTCGAGGGGCCGAAAGCGATGCACAAATCTCCGTCTCGATTTTTTCGATACGCCAGATGACCAAGGGGGGTCCTCTGTGCGCAACCCGAAGCCTCACCGATTCGGCCACGTGCGTGAGATCTTGCAACTGGTAGCTCCCTGCCGCCCGATCTGCAGGCAGCATCATACAGCGGGCCCACGATAAAGCTGAATAGTGGGGCCTGGACAAAAGACAAGGCCGAACATGACCAATTCCGTTGTTCCGCTCCGTCGCCGTTTGTTTTCTGTCTGGGTTGTTTTCTCCAGTCCTGGCTCTGGTACCGGCTCCGATTCTGGTGGCGAAATGTGTGTTCCCGTTTCTGTCAGCCGTGTTGCGTTTTGCATCGTGTTCACCCTCAGGGGCCAAATCTTCGGAAACGTCAGGACAGAACTGCTCTGCCGCTTTCGGGGCCCACCAAGCACCAGGGGCCCTTGCCCGTGACAGGCCGGTGGAATCAAACTTGCCGACCGAGGGCGAATTGGAAGGCAGGCTCCAGGCTGGCCCGCAGGCTTGAAGGGTGTCAGGATGGCCAGAAGACGGCTGCAAGATGGCCCCAGGAGGCCTCGAGGAAGGGCCAAGGCGGGTCAAGATCTGAGCTGCCCAGATACGCAACGCGCAACCCGTAGCGTGCTGGCAGGAGGCTCCACACGCAGACTGAAAACGTAGGCATGGCGCGATACCTTTGCCAGAACGTGGACCAACACGTGCCGAGCCAACACGCAGCGTGTTAACACGGACGCCTTGAACACGGTGCGTGCTGCGTTTCAGAACGTGCGCCTCCGGGTAGCCGACCTCAAGGTCGTCCCGAAGACGACGCTGTCGGGCGAAGGCCGGCCCGAGCGGCCCGAGATGGACCCAGACGGTTCCAAGAGGCGCCACGAGAGCAGTGACGCCTGGGCCCTCCAGGGAACCACTCGAGACACCGAAACCAGCGAACTCCAACCATCCGTTCGAAACCTTCTTGGCCCTCCCGCCGTTCCGGGACTACTGCTCCTATTGTCGTGAGATGTCCTCGAGAAGGCGTAACAACCCCTTGAGGGGGTGCCACGGGAAGCCACACCAAATATGCTCACAACAAAAATCGGGGGCGGCTCAGAGGGGGGCGTCCAAGAAGGGGGAGCGCAACTCATGGCAAACGACATGTGCGCGGCCCAAGAGGGGGCCAGGGACGTAATGAGCTAAGAAGAGGCGCCATGGAATCAGGGGAAATATCATGCCCCACGCCATGATATCCACCCGCCCATAGTCATCACCCCCCCCAGCCAACGATTTCACAACAAACAGAATAAGCTATAGTCCAAATCGCAATCAGATAATTGCCGAGCTCGCGGAATCAAGCGGATTCCAAACTAAAAGAAAGCCAGGAGACTGAAACTAGCTCGAGCTCGTGGGTTCAAGCCGATGCCAAGTTCGTCCTCAGGGTAGGAAGGGATGAATCTCAACATGTAACACACATTCTGCGTGCAGGAATTCGCGCCAGAAGAAACAACATTTGCGGGTGCTGTCCTGGCAAAAGATTTTCAAGCACACTGCAACGATCATCTAACATCGATTCGTCGCCCTCCTACCAACAATCACCACCATATCGCATGCTTCCACACCCTTGCGTCCCGATGCGTTCCGTGCTTGCTGCAGCCGCCTCCGACCTCTACTAGCTACCTTTGGGCGTGGCTACGTCGCTACGCACGAAACGAGCACCTTAAAGCACGCACATCCTCCTCATTCGTCTCCTGCCCGCTTCTACGCCACCTCGTCCTCCCCCCGCGCCACTCTCACTTGTTCTCTCTCTCTCTCTCTTTCTCCCTCTCTCTCTCTCTCTACCCATAGGTCTCTCTCCCTCTCTCTTTCTCACCCTGCATCCTGCAAGTCCTCCAACCCATCACTCCCTCCCCCTCTCGCGCCGTCTCCTGAAGCTTCCTGTCCCTGCGCGACTGGGCCAGGACTGGTTCGCAAATGACCCTTTTCCCCCCTCACCACCTGGAACGGCTGCCAGCGATATGACGCGAGACTGGGGGGGGGGACAAACCGGGGGGGACAAACCATGCGGCCCAGCAGACGTGAATTTCGGCCTAGGTTCTGACATGGTGCCAGCGCAGAAGAAGCCTCTGCCAGCATTCGTGTCACGGATACTCGTCAGTTCACTACTGCTGTAAGTACTCGCGCCTCGGAAGCTACGGCTGCTTCTGCTATTTCTGCTTCTGCGGCGAAGACCAGTGCTGCCACTGCTGCGGCTGCAACTGCTAGTTTGGCCGGCGCCACTGCGAGGAAGCCCTCTCAAAGCAGGAGTGTGGCTGGCCCCAAAGGCGAGACAGCTATTCCGAGGGAGGGCTGTGGCTGCCACTACGGCGAGAGCAGAGCCGGCCAGGGGCAGCCCCTCCTTCCTCGTCCTTCCTCCCCCCGCCCTCCTCTTTCCACCACCGCCTGCTGGATGTGTGGGAGGGGACCGATGTGAACACCACGTCGTCTGGTCGGCCAAGTAGCTCGGTGCATGGACGTTCCAGCTTCCCGGCCTGTCGGACACGTCGTCTGGTCGGCCTAGGAATGCATAGACGCTCCAGCTTCCCAACCTGTGTGACGCTGGAGCGCCTATACTCGGCAGTGAGCCTGGGGGAGAAATGAGAAGGAGACGGCCTTCTCAGAAGGTTCGGACGCCCCCCGGCCTTCTAAGAAGTTTGCTAAGCTTTCTCCGAAGACACAGAAAACTTCTCAGAAGGCGCGATGGATTCTGAGAAGTCCCGTCGCCTTCTGAGAAGGCCTTCTGCTTCTCACTTCCCCCCCTCGCCCGCCGCCGATCTACACCGAGCTCCTTCGTGTCCTGGGCTCCCTAGCCGACCAAGCGACGCAACGTACACATCGACGCCCCCCCGAGTGCAGCCGCGCGGCCCGCCTGGGGGTAGGCCGCCCCCGAGGCGAGCCTCATCATGGCCCCCGCCTGCGGCCGCACAGCTCGCACACGCAGGGCGCGGCGCAGAGGCCGAAAGCTGGGGAAGCTGAAGGGTACCGATACAGCGGTGGCCCGACCACAAGAAGCCTTCCACAAGAAACCCGACTCACCAGGACGTCCGTTGACTTTCGGTGTGGGAAGGTCACGCTCTCCCTCGCAGAACCATCGAAGCCCAAGAAACCCAGGGCACCCTGGAGGCAAGCAGGCTGTTTCTTGGCATGGGCCTGCACTGTACCGCTACTCCCAGACATCTGGCGTCTCGAAAAACTCGAGACGGAGGTCTTTCACCGTTTTCGGCCTCTCGGGGCCCTCCCCGGGCATCGGGACCGTCAAAAAACACGACTCGGGACGAAAAGCCCTTCCCAGGGAAGTGGTCGAAAGGTCAGCGGCCCGTGTTTCGAAAAATCGAGGCGCCGGGTGCCTCGGCTCCCCAGACTTCTCCCGGGGTGCGCTCTGACGAGAGGTTCGAGGCGAATCCAGCCGTGGTGACGACGGCCTCCCAGGACAAAAAAGCGCGAACACGAAGGAATGGCAGCGGCATTGGTGCCCTGCCCTCCTCTGAGAGAACACGCTGCAGAGCACAGTGTGCGCTGCAGAGGTGAGGCGACGCAGGAGGCTGAGAGCACACTGCACACTGCAGTCCGCACCTGGCACAGCCAGGCCAGCCTCTCGCTGCACGCTAGAGCTGCGCACGCCTGCGCTGCGCTCCACTCTGTTGCGCTCGTCGTCCCACGGTATGGGTGGGGCCTGTTCTGGAAGCTGAAGCCCGACGACCGCCTCAAACGGTGATACTGACGAGGCGATCGGCCTATATGCGGGCAGAAATGCGGCTGAGGAAACATCCGACGGCATGGAGGCAGCTACGTACGAATCTTCACTTTTTACCTCTGTCCCATTCAGTCTCTCTCTCTTCCCCCCCCCACACACGCGCGCGCGCAGGATGATGCTTTGCTGCATGGCTGGCCAACGCTGACAGCACGCCCAAACGATCCCAGTTGAAACTACTAGGACAAAAATCATGGGCTGCAGAGACCAGGTTTGAATGATTATACCCTGGCCACACTTTTGCGGCGACCCAGAATCGATCCAGAATCTTGAGCGGGGCGTGAACTATTCCTGCCGAGTTGGGGGGAATCTTACCTGCACATGTCAAACTCACGGGCGTTAGTATGTTGACGGTTGTAGCCCGATCTATTCCCAACCATCCTGTGGTGTCGGGTCGTCGATTTGAATCAGCAGCTCCTCGCGTCCACTCCTCCTCCTCCTCCTCCTCCTGCTCCTCCTCCTCCTCCTCCTCATCCTTCCTTCTTCTCCTCCTCCTCCCGCCTCGTCGTCAACGTCATTCTCATCAGTTGC